CATTTTACTGGGTGAGTGGACACTGGAGCATCCTTCTCCATAATAGGTCTAGGTCTCCAAATAAATACAGGGTTGGGAAAGATTAATGTTAATTCTTTGGGGTGTAAGGAGAGGCTTATATGAGTTTTTGCTATCTATCCCGTTAACGTTTATGGAGATCTTGGATATTAGGCTTTTAATCTGCTTTATACAGCTGAAACTTATTTGACAGGAACTTGCACAGATGGTGCTTTACATTCTGTATGAAATGTGGTGCTTTTTAAATTTTCCTTGGGTTAATTCCGTGAATTTGGTCAGAATTTCCTCAATGGATATTTGTCTCCTGTTTCTCTGATTTTGCTTATCTGAAATTGAATTCAATCTGAGCTGTAAGTGGGTGTCTTCAATACTAGAGAGAGCAGACAATATAGGTAATCATCTGTTTCACCCTGGTGTATTCAACAATTACTGTATCAGTAAATGTTTCCTGCCTAATATGCAGCAGTAACAAAGTACAGGAACCTGTTTATGTTAGGAGCACATTTCCTTTTGTGGCTGTGATAAGACACATTCATACAACTAGAGAAGAAATAGTTTTCTTAATTTTACAGTTGACTGGAGAGAGCCTTGTGAGGAGACAGTAGTTTGCCCTTGACCTGGATTAAAGCATAGTATTAATATTAGCTATGAAAACTGTTATTTGTGGGACTAACATCCTAAAAACAGTTCTGGCACTTGGAAGACCTCACATTCATCTTGGCATGGAATGAGAATGGACTACTGTACAAACATACAGAAGTTTAAAGATAGCATTCATTAATCTCCATGACTTAAGTCCATGTGTCAGGCAGTTTGTTACCAGTGTTATACCTAGTTAATATATTAGGAAAGCCTTTGCCTTATAATATCTATTAGTGAAAGCCATTTAATGGGCTCTAAAAATAAATGGTGCCTTCTAAGGTTCATCAAATCTATAAGGGAAATGCCCACATCTCAGAGCAGAATCTTTCTGTTGGAAATATTAAGAAACAGCATAAAACTATTAGCATAAATTTTCTCATTATTGAATCTTTGCAATAGTGGATCTGATGATCAGATAATAGGTGGTGGGAAACTGAGACCTTGATTCAGCAAAGCACTTAAGAACATACATAAGTCCTACTGGAGTTAGTGTAGGTGAAACAATACCTGGTCCTTCACCAAAGCAAATGCATGTGAAGTTCTAAATGCATGCTTTATGCATCATAAATCAGTTATTAGCAGCAACCTTGGGGCCATATCCTGCCCACAGTAGAGAATCTATATGGACCAGCATGTGTTCTATTCCAAGTTCAAAGCCTCTCTGTACATAGTCAGATTCTTAGTTGGTATAAACTAGTATAGCTCCATTGAAGATGAGGATCTTTTCCATAATGCACAGTGATTTGGTGCAAGAAAAGATTATTTGTATGTTTATTTTGCAACTGGCAAACAGAAGAATACTTTTTGGAACTATTAAAATGGCAGTAAGGGTCTTGCAAGATCTATGTTTGATTACTCAAAGATGCATTTTTCTCATCCTAGGCTTTTGGGCAGGCCCATACCAACCACAAGAAGGTAGCAGCAGATGGAGAGAGCAGAGAGGAGACCTTGATTCAGGAGTCAGCTACCAAAGAAGAGTACTACATGAAAAAAGTGATGGAGCTGCAGACGGAGCTCAAGCAACTGCGGAATGTCCTTGCCAACACCCAGTCTGAAAATGAGCGCCTTAATTCTGTTGCACAGGAGCTGAAAGAGGTAAGGGGGAATGATTAATGTACAACCTCAGGTGAATTGCAAGAATGCTTTCTTCCACTGTGAAACCTAGAGCTTCTGCTTTGTAATGGTGATCTATTCCAGGATCAAGATTTGCTCTATTCTTAAGGTCCTTAGCAGGTCAGTGACTCTCCTTGGGGACTGGAATAAAGCAGTGTACTTAAGCAAGAGACAGGAAAGTCACTTGGCTCAAGCAGGAGGAGCCTTCTGATTTGAATTCTGCTGGACTACCACCCTGTGTTACTATTTCAACATTAACGTTGGTGAATTGCATCAGTGTGTGGTGGTGG